CTCTACCTCCGCAAGAAGAAACCCAACATGGTCAGACCCATCAAGGTACAGAAACCTGAGAACCAGGAACTAAAGTTAACTTTGATTTTTTTTTATCCCATGGCCTTAAATTACCATCTAATCATAGCTCTTGGATTACTTCACCTACAATGAGACACATTGTACTAATTTGCAACTGGGAAATATTGTAAATATATGTATTCTTACCTTTACCTGAGTTTTAAAATGCCTATTGATATGCAAAAGGGAAATGAGTCAGAGTGAGGAGTAATGTAGTGGCTTCATTTTTACGACTTTTCCCACATTCTCTTCAATACAGAAACCAACAGACAACTCAGTACAACAATACATCTCCCCTTTAATAAGTCATAATAATGTCAGGATATAAATTACCTCGAGGGCCGTACCAAATGGTCTCGCGGTCCGTATACGGCCCGGAGGCCGGAGGTTCCCCACCCCTGTTCTAGATAGACAAAAAATGCACACATAACTGTGTCTTTAAAATGGCTTTTTACAGATATTTATTATCCAAACCATGTACTTGAATACAATATAATGTAATATGCTTGTTTGAGATGGAAGTAATGTAATAACTTGTGTGTTTTTGTGTTGTGCAGATTAGCATGTTGATCCCCATCGCCTACCTGGTATTCTGGGCTGTGCTGCTGGGCTTCAGTCTGTACTCTGAACCAGTGGTTTGTGGCCTGGGAATGGTCATCATGCTGACTGGAGTCCCTGTATACTTTGTGGGTGTTCATTGGAAGGACAAACCCAAATGGGTTTATAGGGTAGTCGGTAAGTTGGGTCGTGCCACTGTACATATTCAAATGGTATTTTATATTATTTGAAGAGATGTTAACTATGGCATGACAGACGATACATTTTATAAGTCTGATAGTTCTGTTTGTTTATGAAGTAAGAAAAGGGGAAAACGATCTATTGCTGGGATAACCTTTCTTAATATCTGCAAAAATTCAAGTGTTGGCAGGTGTTTGTTGTTGTAACACAAATGTTGACCACACAACACTGAAGTGTCTTTACAGAATGCTCTTAATAAGAACTAGGCGACTTTTAACTTATCCTAACACAACAGTAATGTTACATTGCTTGCTAACACACAATTCACCTTGTGTTTGAGTGCATGTTGAAAATAAAACTCACTCCTCTGTTGAGTAGTGGAGCAAATCAGCGTCTAGTGGCCAACATGTGTGTGACAGCAACACAACGTTTTTCTTTACCTCGTAAAAAAAGCTGAACAAATAAAGATGAACTTCTTAACTCATAAACACAAAATGAAAAACATTTAGATCATACTTAGAAAATCACTCCACATTATTATTTGTTATTGCCTCTCTTGGCTTCCGTAGTTAGCAGTTAGTCCCTATTATTAAAACTGTTTTCTTTTGATTGCAGAAAGAGTCACATACGTGGGCCAGAAGGTGTGTTATGTGGTGTTTCCTCAGGAAGACCTTTCAGAGACTGAACCCCTCACTTCCTCCAAAGCCACTGACTGAGCAGCGCAGTCACCCAGGAATTCCCATTTTGCATCCACACCTGTACTTCCAGTTTTTCCCTCCCTTTTTTTCACATTGGTCAGTTTGTGGATGGTGAAGAGATGTTTGTGAAGTGGCATATTGCAAAGTCGAGCCTAGATACTGCCTTGATTAATATCCAGTATAAAATAAGAGGAAGGTTACACCTATGGCAGTGGCATTAGCTGAAGACTGTTTTTATGTGATACTTGGTACTGGTTCTGAATTCTCATCAGCAGTAGTCCATGCTCCCTATTTCATTCAGATCTTTATATCATCTTCTACGTCACATCCTTGAGCTAATGTGCCTTATGAAATGTATGTGATGGTGTTGTGTGTTGGGTTGTGCGGATATTTTGATGATGCAATAACATATTTGTGGTAAATATGCAAGCAGTTTCTGCACTTAGCAATACTTCTCTATTACTGCTGATTTTCACTAATTATTCACAAGATGTTTACTGTTTATCAAATGTGGATGAGTAATTTTCTGTCTATATCTCTGCTTTGCTTCATTATCTAGCAATTCTTTCAACTTTAGGCTTCTTTCTCTCTCTCTTTTTTATTAGATCATACTGAGATAATGTAGGTGCCCCTTGCATTGTTACTAGAGAGATTATCTTAACTACGCTCATTGTTCCCAGCAATATTTACAGCTCAGGAGAGAAAGGACGATGGCGAGAAGTTTGAAGCTATCACCACGACGAAAAGATGCCTCTCAGAAATGAATAAGTTGCATCGCAACACCACCTTTTGAACCGCCTGTTCTGATTTGTGATCGTTTTTTAAGGAATGCCTCTGTGAACTCTTTCAAGGTGCTTCACCTGACAAGACAGCTATTACATTTCATATTTCCCATCTGATATGATAAAGTGTTTACCATTAACATGCATGGGCCTGCTCCCACTTCCCCAAAGATCAGAACAATAATTACCCCAGGCCGACACTTTATAGATCAACTCACTTGCTATGGTACCTTTTAGTTTTTTTTTTTTCAGTGGACTTATTTTGACCCCATTGAAATATTAAGTTGCCCCCAAACACTTATGGTAAAATGGTCCTCACTCAAGTCGCACTACCACTACCTTATGGAATACTTCACATCCCAAATGATCTGTTTGTGCGTGAACTGTTTATGCACGTGTCACCCATTTTCTTAAATGCATCAAGACTTTTCTCCATTTTCTGATTGTTTGTTCACCACGGAAGCTCGTAAGAAATGTAAAATCAACACGGAATGAAAATTTGATGGACAAATGGTTATTTTGGGGGTGAAGTATTCCTTTAAATAAATGTGCTCCATGTGATATTTGTTGTATTTAAGTAGTATCTTCCTTTTGTGTACATACAACAAAACATATGAGGGTTTTTTAACAATGTAAACCAGCATGTAGGAACTTGAACAGTATTTTTCAACGGAAATCTACAAAAAGACTCACACTTCAAACAACAATGTCTGTCTGTCATGTCCAGGCGCTGTTTGCTCAGTTGACATCTGTAAATACTGTGTAAAGAAGAACAAACTGTTACAAATGCGCCAGTGACTCTCACAAAGATCACATTCCTCAGACATGTTGTGAAACATTTACATACTGTGTACAATTGATCGGTGCACCTCTGTGTAAAAGGGTGTAAAGATGTGCAAAAATAACAATGTAATTACCTATTAAATATAGCAAATTCTGAGATGCATCTTTTTTTTGATAATACAAGTAGGTACAGGAGCCCTGAGACACAAGTGAGAAAGAAAATACTGGTGATTCAGTTTTTATGTCTGATCTTAATTTTGTCGTCTCCTGTGCATATGACTTACTAACAGGTAAAAACATTTTTGGCATTACCATTTTTTCAGCAGTCATAAAGACATGTGAGAAAGTAATTGATATCAAACTTAGAAAATCCATCATCATAACAAATACATTTTTCACCTCTAAGGGCTTCCATACGATAAGTTTGACTATTGTAAATAAATTGCTTTCCGTAAACTACCAGTTTTATGGTGGTGGTCGTGTCAGTATTATTACAAATACATTTGTACACTAAAATAATTCAGTAAATAAACGGCTTACGGTTTATTAATTGCAGGCACAGTAAAACAATGAACAATAATCAGCAGAAGGCTTTACAGGGCTTTTAACAGCAATCCCCTAAATGTCATGGTGGCATTCCTTTCAGCACAAAATATACAAATATAGTTGTTTTTTTAAATAAGAGAAATGCTTTTATACAAACAAAGTATACATGGGGAAGAAGCTTCACATTCAAACAGCAAGGATAGGCAATGCAATTATCAGACAACCTGATTCAGTAGTACTTTATTTCCTCTATTCAGTGTATTTACCAAGTGTTAACCAATTGAAAATTCCAGTTGTACCTATATTAAATATCCAACCCAGTCTCACGGCATTTCGTGTTATAGTCCCAAAATTAATTTATGTGTTCACCAACACGATTTTCGCATTTTTTCCGTGTCACAAAGAACGATTGTAAAAGCAATGCATTTATATTGGTAGTATGTTTCGTGCCTGCACCACGTCTTTTTGTCCAGTCGGGTCTTGGAATACCAGAAGCTGTGGGGTTCATAAAAACATTTTCTTTCTCAATATCTTACCCTAAGCCTAACCCTATCCCTTTTATTTTAAATTGTATAATGTCGAAGTTTTTTTTGCCGTCCACAAGGAAAATAAATGGGGCTCAGGCAGGGGCGGACTGGGACTAAAAATCAGCCTGGGCATCTCGACTTATCTTTGACTTATCCGACCGGCCCACATCGTCGGACCGTCGGGACGTCCCGATGGTCAGTCCGCCACTGGGCTCAGGGCCTCAGAATACTGAAATCTGTATTTTTTTGTCATCTTTTTTTCCTTCTAATTTGTTATTTAGTGCAGGCACGAAACATACTACCAATAGAAATACATTGCTTCTACAATCGTTCTGTGTCAGAATACTGAAATCTGTATTTTTTTCTAATTTGTTATTATTTACATTGCTTTTAAAATCGTTCTGTGTGACACGAAAAAAATGGCAAAATCGTGTTGGTGAACACGAATCAATAGATTAATTTCGTGACTATAACACGAAATTCCGTGAGACTGTGTTGCAATATCAGAAAGGGTTTGATAATGTACATTATCGTGAAAAAATGCAATCAAGAAAAAAAGCCCACTGAAAATACAGTTGTGAAAATCTTGACAACAAAGCGATCAAAGCAAGGGTATAGAGAAATACTTCAGCTGCGTTTCAATTTGGATACTTCCATCGGTACACTGAATTTCCTAGAATGTGAAAACTTGGGCAGTCCGTGAATTTCTGCTGTGCCGGAAGTGATGATAGCCAGATAGCAAGCTAGCTAACAATCTTCGCTAGCTAGATGATCGAGGTAGCAAATCATTACAAACTACTCAATTAACCCAATAAAATGTATGTTGGCTTCTTTTTCGATACAAATATAGTTGTACGTCTTTCAAATTGTGAAGAAAACCCAATAATTAACTTTTATTTGTATAGTGCTTCATTAATCAGAGCAAAAACAATTACGGCTGTTCCTGAAATGTCTGTTACCCAGCTAAAATGGACGTCATAGAGTGTGGATTTTGCAATACTTTTTGAGACACACTTATGAACTCTAAATAGTAAAATGAAGTACAGAAGTATGCAAATCGAGACATAGCATTGATCTGACAGATAATAAGATATTCTCTAAACTGTCACTGTGACACAATCAATCTTTCTTTACATTTCAAATAGTAATATGTTGGCACACTAATCTTTATAACTGGTTTTCTGCAGTCTGAAAAATATCAAAGAAAGATAATTTAACCAAGACTTTCACAGATTAAGATTTAAATAAACAGGTAAATACAGTGGAATAGGGTTTTTGAAAAGCAACATTTTCTTCTCCCCTGACTTCCCTGCCATAATAATCCCTGATGCAGTAGTGCACTACAACTTCAGAGCAGTCGGTTGTAGCAATCACATGTCATATCATAACGCTGTGTCCAGACACATCTAATCCCTTCATACATGACAACCACAAATGTGAGCCATGAAACTATCGGTGATATTTACAACAGCGGGGAAAAACCATTAAGGCATTTTTTTAAATACATTTCTGTACACCTCAGGACATACATTATGCAGATGTGTAACTTTTTCTAAACTAATAAACATTAAGTAAAAGGAGAAAGATCAGACCTTAAACTTTGAACAAGGTATAAAATGAAATATGCAAAAAATATGTAAAGCTAGGAAGGCTAGGAATTACTTATGGAGACATCTCTAATGGCACATAACATTTAGCAGCTGTTTATGAAAAATAATCTCTTTAAGATGGACGGACATGGGGTAGCATGGCACATTCAGTCACTTAAAGGGACAGCTTAGATTTTTTGGTGGAGTTGTACGAGTCATTTATCTTTAGTTTGTAAATTGCGTACTTTGGTGTTTTAAAAGGCTCGTTCAAATCTCCCCTAATTTGCATAACAAAACAAACTCATCGATCGAGGCAATACAATCACTATGGATAAGAACTTCATGTAACTCCACGTCAAAACATCCAAACTATCTCTTTAAAGTAAAAAAAACAACTTTTAAGACAATGCTTTTTAGTACGGAACCCTGACAGTGCTGCTTTAAAAACAACCAGCATTTGGCTTTCTGTCATTTCTCTAACTCTGCCTCTTCACACAAGTTATCTGACTTGTTCAGTACCTGTTCAGTAGCAATATCCTGCAGTAAAAGAGAGATAAATGCATTTCAAGAAACAATGGAAGTGATATTCTTTAGAGGCGCAACAGTAATTAGTAAACGTCACCAGGGTCACCTCAGAGAAGATTCACAGAAAAACATCAAGCGATCATGTCCAATCAAGTTCAATGTTTGTCAAGACAGAAAGAGAAATATAAAGTAGGAATAGAGGTCCTCATCGAAGACTGAAAAATAGAAGCCTTTTATCACATCCTGTCATAGAAATGTCCACAGCATAGATATGAATTTCCAGTGTAATAAAGCAGGCGTCAGCAGTCAGCCGGTCTGCAGTGCTGCAGAGGTACCGCTGGGATGAAGACGACTCGACAAACAATACATTTTCTGAAGTCAAGCTAATGTTCCCGGCACATTCACATAAAATCGTAGACACTGCCTCCGAAACAGTCACGTTCATTCAAGTGCGGAAAGGCTTCCTTGAGAGGAGTGTATGTTTGATTAGAGGAGGGTGAGGGGTGAGCAGAGTTACAGGTTCTTGGACTCTTTACCTCAGTTTCCATTCAAGTTTGGTTTCAAAACAGATTATGTCAAGTTGAAAAGGCTTAATTGACAAATCTAAATTGAAAAATCAGTTTGATAACATTTTCTTAAACGTAGTGAAACAATTGTTTAAGTTCGAAGAGGGTAAATGAAGTATAACTGAAGAAATGTACAGCATATGTTAAATTAAAACGGACAAAGATTTGGCATGATTGAATTATTCTGTTAAACTAGGCTAAGCTAACCAACTGCTAGATGTAGCCTTATGTTTTACGGACAGGCATGAGAGTGGTTTCTATCTACTCATCCAACTCTCCAATAGAAAGCAAATAAACACATTTCCAAAAATGTTCATCCTTGCCTATGGAAGTGAAAGGTCTGGCTTTATTTTTTTATTTTTTGTATTGTCAACAATCCTGTGAAAAGACCAATATACTCAATGTATATTATACTAACAAGTGTATACTAACAAGTATAAAAGCGTGTTCCTCGGTGTCAAAGAGCTTCGTAGTAGTCTATCTAAAACACATAAATGAGCAACACTATTGCAGCCCAAATTAGTCTCAAACAAATGCGATTTTTCCTGAAAACGTTTAAGAAAACGATTTAGCATTTTAAAACATAAGTATCCACAAAGGTCTGGTGAAGTCATAAAGCATTTAGAAATGGACGTGGTCATATTGGTCTTTCATTTGATTTATCGAATATACGAAAAACGGACAATATCACCAGCTTTCACCTGATATGCAACAGCCTACCGTGAACTTCTAATAATAACACTACCTCTACATTAAAGTGGGAATAAGACCATGAAGCAAGGAAAATTCATTTGTGATCACTTAACAGGCTTTTTTGGTTCACAGTATATAGCGGTGCAAAATGGCTCTGGGTAACGACACAAAGGCTGCTTTGGCGTTGTAAGAACATGTAGCTAATATTCAATTGGTACTGGTGGCCAGAATAGAGTTTCGATTTGTCGGGAACAGGCTCCTGACGAGGTTATGTCCCACAAGGGAATCGACATTAGTTGGGATTTTGAGGTTGATTAGTTATATTTAACCACCTAAAAAATAAACCATCAAATACATTCAATATCAGTTTAAGTCTAACCAATATTTAGAATGTTTTCCTTTTTCGACAAATAACTCAAACCACCAGACTCCATTGACAGAAACTGATATTTTGCTCATAGAGAAATAAAGTTGCTGGTCTTCCACTCTCCCGATCACTTAGTCGTTGTGTGTTATTGTGTGACTTTGGTGAATCTGACCTATCGAGATAACAGCACAATAGCAGCTTACGTGTTCTACAAGGTAAAGAATACCGTTTTGGTCAATGGAGTATGGTGGCTTTGAAGATAGCAGGGATAACAACCTCAGGAACCCCCAGATTATTTTAGGATGGACTTTTAAGATAGACATCCACCAACTTCAAAAGATTATACACTCAAAATCAAGTACCTAAAACAGCCCTATTTCAAAACATCCAAACTATCCCTTTAAGCTCCTTGACAAAAACATAAACTGCACAACAAAGACCATAAGCACTACTAACGCTGGTTAATAATCTTACTAAAACACTGCATATGCAGATTTTTAAAGTGAATAGACACAAGTTAATTATATTTTACTGAATTGGGCTAAGGTACAGGTCTCACCTCTGGATCTGATAGGAACTCATCTCAAGGAGACTTTAGCAGATTGATGAGAGCAGGTCTCAGCCGAGAGAGTGGAAGGAGGGTACCTCCCTAACTCCTCAGCATGGCGTTGTTTCCCTCCCTGAATCTCCTCCCTCATCACTAAAGGTCCTGCCCTTGCCCTCTCTACTCCTCCTCTTATCCCTGCTCCTTATTTCCCTGCTTGGCACTTCCACAGTAAAGTGGCTGTCCTCTGCTTTCACAGAAGTAGACAAGGGTTCAGAGGGTGACGTCACCTCTGGTACCTGGGGGTTAGGGTGAGTTGTTGTGGCGGTCTGGGATCTGCTAGAAAACACAGGGGGTGAGATAGGGGACAAGGGCCCCAAGGGGGAGTATCGTCTCAAGGAAACACCATTCAGGTTAACAGCGAGCTCCAGAACAAGTTTCCTCGATGTGCGGATGTTGCATGGAGGCACAGAGGCTTCCTGGGGATCTGTGGGGCACCCGCAATGAGTTAGAGAGTCCCTCTGGATAGGTGTGGGGGGCTCCGACTGTGGACCCCTGCTGCTCTCCCTGCTGACTGGTGACAGCATGTCCTCTGGGCTGTCTGCAGACTGCAAGGACAGAGGTGATGCGGGGCTCTCTGACGTGCAGGACTGCAGGGTCCTGGTTGCAGACCGCCGGGACCCCACTGCATCGACCTGTTCCCATCGAGCCTGTCCCACAGCCCAGCTCCTGGGCAACTGCACACCCACAGTTTGGTAGCTGTGGAGCCCCAGTGTGATCTGTGTGGGTCCAGGGGAGTCCAGCAGAGGGGCATTCCCTCTGGTTCGCCCCCCACTGCGGAACAGGCGAGTCCATAGATGTCCGAGACATCGGCGAGAGGAAGAGGAGGTGGAGCGCCGCGTGGAGTGACGTCTGATCTGCCTGCGCATCGCCAGCCGCAGGTTCTGTAACACGGACGCCTGGAGGAGGGGGAGACGGAGAGAAACGTCATTCCTGTTTCTATCCAAATATCAGGTAGATAGCAAGCAATCAAGCAAATAGGATATAATTGTTCATTTGTCATCCTTAGATGAACTGGTAGGCCGATCTTGCTCCTTTGTTATCCAGTATCTGTGCTAAGCTAAGTTAAGCTAAAAGACTGCTGGCCTTTGCTTGATACTAACCACTAAGATATCACAATGGCATCCCTTAACGCAAGAGAAAAAAAGCTTTTTTAACAAAATGTTAACTATTCATTTCAGTTAATAATGTGATTAGGCAAGAGTTAATGGAAATATATGTATATTGACAGCCATTAGGTGTTGTTATCCACCTTTGTTTAAGTGCATTTTCAATTTCAATTTGTGCTTGAATCCTAAGTTTCAGGAAAACAATTACCAGAAATGTATTATTATGTGTGAATGCATTACCTGGGTGGGGTTGTACACGGGGAAATCCTCCACCGGAGGGATGAGACCCTGGGCGATTAACTGGCCATACGAAGGGGGGGCCTCTCTCTGAACAAAATCGGCCTCCATGCGAGTCATCTGAGTCTCAAAAGCTCTGTAAGAGAGAAAGAGACAAAGACAGAGACAGGGACAAAGACAGCGATACTGTCATTGTGAGTAGAGCTGGGTGTACCCAAATACAGAAGACAGGAAAATACCTTTACTTTTAGGTAATCCGGGGAGGACAAAACAAACACAACTAAACAGACCTTCCAGCTGACCAACATACAAGGATCCCTACAAAAATGTAACAGATAACTACGATTTAAAAGCAAGTCAACTAATCAGCGGATGAAGTGCAGGAGGTCAGGTGGTTGCAGGGCTAATAACAACTAATAATGCCAGGAGTGAAACAGACTGGACAAGGGGAAACATTTTTTTTAAACATAAACAGGAAACAAATAAACTAAAAACTAGGATAATGAAAGAGAGAGAGAGAGAGAGAGGTAGAAAAAGGAGTGCAGGACAAACAGCAGGACAGAAGAAAAGATAATTGAAGTGGCGTAGACTGAGTGAGCGATCATAAGGTGACCTACTCAGACATTTATCTTGTTGTATAAAGCAGTAAACAAATCAAAGGGATGACGAAAAACAAGAACATCACATGCACAATGGTGCTTTCTCCACACCTGTACTCTCTGCTCCTGAGGGAGTGGAGTTTGAGGGCACAGCCGAGGGCGATGACCAGCAGGAGGCTGCAGACGAGGCTCCCGATCAGGGCAGCTGTGATCACCTTCCTGGGCACGGCTGCCAGACAGTCCCTCTCATCGCTGCCGTCCAAGCAGTCCTCCTGGCCGTCACAACGCCACGTCTCGAAGATGCACAGGTTGGTCCCACAGTGGAAGTTTCCAGGTTGGCAGTTGTAGCAGTTATTCTCGTCAGACCCATCTGGACACCTCTTCTGGTTGTTGCAGCGCTCAGAGGCTGGGTAGCAGACCCCAGTTCCTCCCTCGCAGGGGAACTCTCCGTCGGGGCAGGTCGGGCAGGCCTCCTCGTCGCGGCCTGATGGGCAGTGCCAGTAGCCGTCGCAGTGTTGGCGCTCAGAGTAGCAGCCCTGATCGCTGCCACAGGGACGCTCGCCGGGAAAACAGTAACCTTTGACCTAGGGACGGCAGAGGAGGAATGCATCAGAGAGGACTAGTTGGTGTCCGCTGGATTGATGGGTCTCTGGACAAACAGAAATAAAGGTACTCTGTCTTTCAACTATACCAATCACAAAAGACCTTAAATGTAGATAGAAATTCTGAAAGGAACCCCAAATGGGACGGTATTAAATACAATTGTTTAGAGCATATGATTAAAACATTTCAGTCTGTGGCCATAAGGTTTTGTCTAAATATATTTTTGCTGCTTTTATATATATTTATTGATTGGTCAACTCTTGGTCAAATGTGCAATATAAATAAAGTTGGATTGGAGTGGATTGGATAAAACCATTTGAATTTTAAAGATAGTTGGAGCTCTCCTTTACAGAAGGTTTGAACAAAAAGTTGGAAAAGACAATGAAGCGTTGAAAAGACTTTGAAACTAATTTTCTGAAAAACCGGATGAAGTGTTCCCAGTCTGCAGTACCTGGTATGTGGCGTTGAATCCATGTCCTGGGCTGTGAGGCTGGGCCATGTACAGAACACTCATCTGTCCCCGGCTGGACTCTAGCAGTGCCGGGCGCCGGTTGTTGTGATGAGACAGCACCTGCAGGAGGTGCTCTGTGCGCTGCAGCAGGCCGTCGTACACATGCAGCGAGTCCCCGGGGCCCAGCTGCAGGTCCAGCTGCAGCACGATGGGCTTGGGGTCCTGGGTGTCCAGCCACCACGAACACCTCAACTCAGCCACAGAGCTCCTGTTGGCCCGGAAAAAGTCTGGGGAGGCAAAGGAGCCGTAGAAGTTCCTCAGACGTTTTCCGCAGGTGGTGTCGGGGCAGCCGTGCTCGTCTGTGCCATCGGGACAGTCCCGGGCCCCGTTGCAGCGCAGGGCGGGGGGCAGACAGCGGGTGGACTGGGCCTCGGTGCACGGGATGGAGCCGGGGGGGCAGAGGCCAGGCCGCGCCTCCGTGGGAGGGGGGGAACAGCTGCGTTCATCTGACGCATCGCCACATTCATCCTGACCGTTGCACTTCCAGGAGCGAGGTAGACACTTCCCGTTCCCACACAGGAACTCATCTGACTGACAGCTGCTCTGACCCAGGTGACCTGCAGAGACACACATTGACAGAATGCAACACCAGCTACCAAATATCAAGAGAAAACATGACACAAACCAACATCAGAGTGCTTTTTGCTCAGTGAAACAACAGAATGCGTTTTGGCCTCAGATGTAATTCTAATAGAATTACTGCGCCCCCAAAGCCACGGGACTCGCTAAAAACGTCCTACATTACAAAGTGTTATGTGGCTGATGTGAGATTTCTTCGACTCTCTTGGGTAATCTCAAAACGTTTTATTAAGTTAAAATACTGCTATAATGAGACATGCAGACACATTCAGATTTGGAAATATGGCTTTACAAGCTGTCACACTCAAACTCTGGTAATTTTCCTTACTCTTAACCGACAATTTCCTTAATTATGTTAGAAATGGTTTATGCCTTACACATTCTATAACTAGACGTTTTGATTCAGTCAGGTTAAGCATTGGATAAAAGATCCATGTCTGTCCAGCCTACCTCTGATGTAGGAGAGGCGAAACCCCTGGGACTGCCCTGAGCTGTTAGCCTGAGAGTGGAAATAGAGCCAGACGCGCCCCCTGGTGGAGATGAAGGGTGGAGGCAGCATGGAGCCACACAGCCTGGAGTCCCCGGTCTTCGTAGGAGTCAGCAGGAGCCAGTCTCCCAAACATCTTCCCGCCTCGGCCACGTCAAAGTTCCGGAAACTTGAGCAGAAGATGGATGATTTTAGTAGGTTACTCTATGACGGATGTCATGTGTACACTGTGTGAGTGAGGGATTGTACCTGATGGTGATGACCTCGCCCTGACCCCCCTGGATATGCCAGCTGCAGTTGACTCTAGCAGGGTAGTTTAAAGGCCAGGACGGGCTGTAGATCACACCCCTCCGCTCTGAGTGGACCTCCACTCGCTCACTGCAGCCTGCTGGGTGAAACACACACACATTAGGGAGGTTGGTCTCTGCAGTGATTTGTGTTAACCATTTTCTTTATTTGTCCTTAGTCATTATGCTGAAATTCTCAGGGGTGGTTTGACAATGGGCCCCTGTGCACAGTTATACAAAAGACCCCACCCCCTCTCCTACTGTAGCAAAACAGATATTAATGTTATTTAGACCCTTGTTGTCATTTTGTTCCTTTTTTTGTCGTTTCACATATTTCTATGATTTTGGTCTGTGTTTTTTTATTGCCAATTTATAGTCATTTTGCATATAACTGGTTGTTTCATGTCACTTTGTAGTTGTTTTGTGTCACTTTATAGTTGTTTGGGTCTTTGGTCTTTGTAGTTATTTTGTGTGACTTCCTGTTTGGACCATGACCAAGACATTGGGCCTCTGTGCATGGTAGGCGAGTTCAGAAATCCATATATTAAGTAGATGCATAAATGTTTATTTTAACAACAGTAGATGTTGTGTTCATTGGGGACTGTTATCAGATGCATACTAATACACATTTAGCTGTTACAGTAGTAAGTATTTCTGGCAGCACAATGGTGTATGCGGAAATCCATTGTTGTCCAAAATAGCTTTTGGACAACAATAGAGCTCTATGGCATAGAAAAAGACAAGTAGGCTATAACAGGGATTTAGCATAGCTACATGTATATTTATTTTTACTAGGATCAATTATTTGTTTACTTTAAATGGATTTGTTAATAATATAAAAACTATCACCAGACTGTTCTGTAATTCCAATGACCTTTCTCTTTTTCACGTATAGTACATATGTAACCATGAGGCATCCTTATCATCTCAAATTCTTAAGAGGGAAACTACTTTCATTAGAGAGAGAAATATGGTCTGTTCCTTTATTCATGATGAACTGAGAATTATGCATGCTCAGCAGGATCCATACTGCTACTGCCAGAATACTCTCACACACTCACGTTCCTTCATTCAAACTCCTTAAAATTCGTCATGAGTCATGACCTTAGCATACTAGTACCAGAAACGTCAGCGCTTAAAAGGACAATACAAAATCGCTGCTGCATTATTAAAAGTGCATTATGTTTTATGTGATTGTCAAGTTTTGTCTCTAATCAGTGCAAACAACCTTAAATCAATGCCTTGACAAGACAAACGACTCTAGTGCCTTTCAGGGGAGCTCTGTGCTGATCACATGGGGGCGAACACCACGGCAACAGCATCGCCTGCTGCCATCGCACCATTTCTTCAGGGAACAGAGAGCGGTGGCCAAGAGGGGCACCAGGAATAAGACACAGACCTGTTTGAAGTGCAGGCCATGGCTCCTGTTGTTTGGTAATAATGAAAGGCATCAGGTATGTATGGAAGCCCTGTGTTTAACACTTAAAAACAGGCAAAAGGGTTCTCCAGGATAATCTGTCATTATTTGATCCTTATTTGTTTATTTTCTCATCTATGAAAAGGTATAGGGGGAGTTTTACAAGGTTTGAACGGTTGTTGTTATTGTTGTTGACTCATTCTGGCCAAAAAAAGCTGAATTAAAATATTACCACATGTTGTTGATATGACTAAAAGAACCTGGCAAATAGCTAGTGAATGTTCAAACTTTACCAGCCACTCAATAGACTGTTGTTATTATTTGGTTGGTGAGTCAAGCACTAGCCTTATATTATCACAATTTGGTTGGTAAATAGTAGTCATTTTGTGAATTCAAATTTCCACCTTTACTCTAAACACAAAGTACAGATATTCTGATTAAGCAAGTCATGTCATATTACTGTCTGTATACATATTTTTTAGCCAAACGAAAGACATAAATAAATTGTAGAATAGAAGAGAAAACCACTCAGATTTATAAAATGGATCACTATACGTTTCTTTTTTTGTAAGGCCTCTAAGGGCTTCCCTGCATTGTCTCCGAGCAGTTATAACACAGGAAGGCTAGATACCAGATGTAACAATAACTTAAATTGTGATGTTAATGTAACATCAGTGGGAAGGATTTCATTCTCTTTCTTACGCTGAGAACAAGAATTTAAACATCACCTCGTTACTTATCATTTGTGACACAGCAGGTATGACACAGGCAAGAAGAAGCTCTCCAACGAGCGTCTTAATTACCCAGAACCACAGAGACAGAAAATCAGCTGAACTGCTTAACAATGGATATCCAACATCGCCACACAGCAGCCCAGTTCTGCTGAGCGTGTGTGTGGTTGTTTCAGGCTTTCTTGATGAATCAGTGAAGTCAGCAGAGTGAAACATTGGCAGGGGGGGCATCCTTTAGAGCTCAGTGATGGATATCGACTACTGCATGGATACCTCAGCACACACATGAAACTGGACTAGCCCTGGGAGTGTGTGGAGTAGAGCTGTTGTTGTATAGTGTGACTGTATAGTGTTTTAATATGAGATTTTACTTTTTTCTATTATTTTCAACAAATGTATTGACTTCTCTGGAGTTCACTGCCTTTTGGTTTTATATTAAATGTTATATAACATCAGAGACAAAATGGCGTTTGTATTGGTTGAGCTACTTTACGTAGGCATAAATTCAAATCATTTTTACTTTGCTGATTATCTGTAAATGTTTTTAAAATCAGATCACACCAACAGTCACTGCAGAGATAAAAAGGACCGTTTCTCTACCCAAAGTAGCCGTGTTTATCCTTCTAGTCAAATGCAATAAGTTTAGCTGCCACCAAGTTAATCAAAATAGCAAAATAATGTTTGAATAGACAATTGGTCCAGATTTTTGTATTTTTTAAATGTAATTAAGATCATTTTGACAAAACGGCAAAATATACCTAAAATATAAGTAAAAGTTATCAAGCAGAAAAAGTGACATTTGATTATTAAATTGTATGCATTTACTGCATCATCAATATAAAAACAAAAAACGGAAATACACATGATGCTGTCTTCATTAACATAACATATACGATTTTCCTTTCTTGGCTATAAAGCTCAAGAACTGGGTGATGTTGGTCAGAATGTATGTTTACACAGTCACATTGTGGCTCCCTTTTGTGGACATAATGCAGGGCCCCACAACATGAATTATTAAATGTAAGGGTGATGACTTGGTGGGTGCTGATGACGAGTGGATGAGGAGGAGCTTTCAAATATTGCTAGTCTAACGTTGGGTCTGTTTGTTGGCTTGTGAGTTGCTTTTTGTGGATTTGCAGATATGTAAACTCTCTCCCTCGTCTATACAACAAAGCTGATAACATAATATGGAGGCTCATTAGTGTCAAACAGGACAACAGATTAAATGGCAGCTGTGGCAGATTCAACTTAACTCTTTCTTCTCTTACCTTTCACAATAAAAGCCCCTTCAATGTTGTTAGCTGACAAGTAACCTAAACTGTAAACACACTGCACTGCTAGCCTAGTATATATATAGTGTTCCATTCACAGCTATAACATTTATGCTGACTTCTCATTTACAGTCACACACACACTCGTTCTTTCTTTCTCAACCACACTGGCTACTAGCTTAACAAACACAGTCTACGCACCAACGGAGTTTGTTACTTGTATTACACACGTTGGATACAAAATTAAATCAAACAATTAACAATGTGTAGGCCCAGTCGCCTAGCAAAACACTGCTAAACCCTGGGTGTGTTTGAGTGTGTACATGTTTGTTTTACTCATGTTGTGGAGACGTGGATTTGTTTACACACTCACATTGTGGGGCATTTTTTTTGGTGACAAAATGCAGTCCCATTCTTTACACCATTAAACTGTAACACTAGGGATGGTGTGTGTGTGTGTGTGGGGGGGGGGGAGTGAGAGAGAGATTGAGGAGCGAGAGCGATGAGCTGAGAGAGAGGAGGATTCGAGGAGAGCAGATGACGAGAGGCGAGCACTGAGAGGAGCTTGCCTGAGAGATAGATGAGAGAAGAGTCAGGAGAGGAGAGAGATTGAGAGAGGAGTGAGAGAGAGAGGCAGAGACGAGAAGAGATAGAGCGAGAGAGAGAGAGAGCAGAGAGACGAGAGAGAGAGGACGGAGAGAGAGAGAGAGAGAGAGAGGAGAAGAGAATTAGTTTGTGTGAACATGTGAAATGATTCAGTACGCAGACCTGTTTGGATTGGGAATGGTGCTGTGTGACTGCTTTTTTTAAATGTCTCCACACCAGACCTTTTTTAAAATAGCGAGAAACCTACTGTTTGGCAGCCGTCTCCTTTATTTTGATGCCAATAAAGTGCAGGATATGATAACAGAGAAGGTGGGGGGGGGGGGGGGGGTAGTTCTGCAGAGAAGCAGCAGTGATGTAATGCTGATAGCAGCATCACATTTGTGAAAGAGCATCCATGTTTCCACGCTAACCCTGATCATTTACCCACCACAGATCGATAGTCCCGCAGGTTTCTGGTACATCTTCTCATCATAACAATGAAAACACATTGTCTTCATCAAGGGTATCTCACTTTAACATTGTGACACAGGAGGAAAGAGCAGCGAGCCATAATTACATGCACTACTCTCCGGGTGTGAACATCAGCTTTGTATAAGTGTTCGGCTGTGATTGTCAGTGACGTTGGAAGCTTTATCAGGACCTCCAATGAAGATAAACAGCTAAACAACCCCTAACAAATACAAAATGTAGCTCGATACTCTTGGTAATTTGCATTTCTTGCAAACAACATATAGTTTCAGTATGATTGACAGCACAGTTGAAAAGATGTGTGTGCAGAAGGCATTACAGCAGTGTTGATGCATTGTTGTGGCTCACCTGCACAGAGCAGAGCGGAGCGGAGCCACAGCAGTCCGAGCAGCAGCCCCGGCGGTCCCATGGTCCGCCCGGCGGGGACTGGTGTGCTTATCTCGGACACAATTTCCGCGTTTTGCTTGACATCTGTGTCCTCCAGCGAGGCTGCCGCATCTGTTTTCAGCTCAGACACACCGAAAGGTCCTCCTCATTACGGAAAAGCATTGTGTCCTTTGCAGCGGTAGCCAAGACACCAGAGTCAAGGCAGCTGTGGCAAAGGAAGCGATTTCCGGTCAACGTCTTCAAAATAAAAGCTACGTTTTGTTAATCAAATTATTGCGTTCATGAGAAACAGTAACAGTTATTTGAAGATATACTTGTTGGAAACGTGTAACCGGAAATATTCTTTAGGAACTGCTTAACCCTTGTGCCCACTTCGAATTTTCAACCTTTCGCCACCTTTGTGGCAAAAATGTACACGCCCCAAAAAACTTCTATTAAATCATCATACATCAATATTTTGTTCTACTTTTCTTTTCATGAATCACTTAAACAAACGTAGCCTACTCAAAACTATCAAACATTCAATCATTTTCAGGATTTTAACCCTTTAAATGCCTGTTTCATTATTTGAATTATTTAATTTCTCTCAAAAATGCCTCATTGACTTCCATGCAGACCACATTTTTTGATCTTACTGCCATTGCAGATTAAAACCATGCATTTTGTAATGTCAGCATTTCATTTAGAAGAAAAGTAGTGATATTTGATATTTCTACTCTATTCCACCACATTAAACCATTTTCCCACTGTAGGCTGATGCATACAATTCTTACATTTTTGCCAGTTATATTATGAAGGCGTGTGACTACCAGGGGGCCCCGAGGTGTGTGTGTGTGTGTGTGTGTGTGTGTGTGTGTGTGTGTGTGTGTGTGTGTGTGTGTGTGTGTGTGTGTGTGTGTGTGTGTGTGTGTGTGTGTGCGTGTGCGTGTGCGTGTCTGTCATGCACGGATCATTTCATGGGTAAAAAAAAGGCCATCTTTTGAGGGATGTGTTTGATGTGTCTTTGAAGAACTGCTTGATTACTCAAAAACAAAAAACAACTGTTCGTGTGTTTATGCACCTGGCTGCCAAAGATACACATGCAGTTTGTCCAAGGGCTTATTTCATTAGTGAGCAGAGAAGGAGAAAGACCTGGAGCAAAGAGAAGGAACTAAAATGAAGAAGCATGTCAGTGCAGAAGAGACTTCAGAAATAATCTTGCAGCCTTCATCTGCCAGCGAGCAGCAGGACTCATCTGAAGAAGACACAAGGTTCGAGGGGGGGTCTGACACTGAATGCTCTCTGGAGTCCAGCATTTCTTTGAGTTCCTCTGACCCTTCCTCTGAAAGTGGAGAGGACACTGAGGGTCCCGTCCACAGTGAGGGAAGAGAGAACAACGGAGGTTGTTCTCCCAGGAGCTGGGGAAAACCAGGGTGTCCTCACAGATTGTGAGAAAAAAGCCTCCTGTGGGGGTGGATGGTGGGCCGGACCCTCAGTGTTTTGTAGCTAATTGTTGACATATCCAAAAATCCATTTTTTGTGTTTTTTTTAAGAGAAATAAATAATGAAAATTATTGAATGTTTGTTAGTTTTGAGCACGTTAGAAGTTGTTTAAGTGATTCATGGGGAGAAAAAAAGTAAAAATAAATATTGATGTATAATGATTTAATAGCAGCTTTTTGGGGGGTGTACATTTTTGCCACGAAGGTGACTCAAAATAAGACTTCTTACAAAAATCTATGCCAAAAGCTGTAACACAGCTGAAATGATTACCAAATAAAAATAAAAAGTCAGGAAAAATGTACAAAAATGCCCGAGGAGGGCACAAGGGTTAAGTGTGTTCAGTTGTATGTTCTACTGGGAAAATAATACACCAAAAGACAGTATTTATAATGTACGTTGCATTGTGTCGTTTTATATGCAATAATATGTTTTGTACATAGTAGTCAATTATTAACCTATGAACTATGTTGTCCTTGATATTAGCTCAAACAAGGTTTATCAATGAGTGTTTTCATATGAGTCTTCTTAAACGTTTTTACCTTAATGGATGCATTTATTTTGAGTCTGATCCACAGAAAAGTCAATAACAAGTGAAAGGTTTTTTTTGGTTTTGTTTATAAAAAGCATTACAATGGTTATCTGAGATGTGTTAAACATATAAATGACATCGGGTTTTTCTTGTCTTATTTTGAAGACCTAAAGATAGAACTTCCGCTCTAGTGGTGGCCTACTTTGTGTTCAGCTTGCCGCATCAAAGTGGTCCTATTTTTTCTTTGTTTATATGTCTTCTTCGCTTCTTGGAGGCACATTTTGTGTGACAAACAGCTATATGGAAACTGTAAACATCCTTTTGAAGTATATTACACCATAAACGGGGTGAACTTGTTGGGATGAGGAGGGCATCCACGCTACGCTCGTTTCATGATTTTCTTCACCCCAATCCATTCATTGTAGTGTGACGGATTCTTGGTCCAGTAGGGCAGGCCGTTTTATTGCCACCCCCATGTGGTCAAATTGGTGTACTACAAAAACCACCAAGTCTATATCACATTTGAGTTAAATGTCGGCATTTCCACTGTAGTCAAGCAGTCTGTTTCTTTAAAGTAGAAGTAAAACGCCTTTTGCCATTGTAATTGTACTATACAGAGATTCAGTGTGAATTTCGACCAACAGGAAACGCTGGGCAAATGACCAAAAGGCATGCTTGGATCCGAACCCAGGAACTCCTGTTTACTAGACAGGCGCTTTAACCATCTAAGCCACGACGCCGGTTTCAACGCCGGATAATATAGCTGTTTATGAATGCACGCGAACTGACATGTACAATTACGATATTAATTAGTTATTAAATACAACTCGTGGTTGCCTACACGGTAGTTAAAATAACTGGAACTATTATAGCAACATTCCATGATTGTAAGCCTGCAGGTTAAGTTATGACTTCATTAGATACAATATGACTGTTTTCTTCAGCTGTGTTGAATAACTCTGTGGTACAGCAATTTTTGGCATTTTGTAAATGATGACATGCTCATGTGAGTTCCTCTTCGTGCATACGGTCTTCGGCTATTATTGTGTTCTCTTTTCTTTATTCATTCATTAATGGTTGTCGCTAACAGCAAAAATAATCAAATGAAAGGATGCATGCAACCCCTTGCCTGGCTGCCCGATATGCTCGATTATTTGGAGCCACCACGGCCTCCTCGTGGCCATATCTTCATATCGCTTTTGAAAAACAGACGAAAGCCATGACCATCAGTATATAAGAATCAATATAGGCTTAATACACTTTTGAAAAAGGACTATTTCAGAATAATGTATGAATTAATATCATAACGAGTTGATTGTTAATAATTATTCTCAATAAATATATTTCCTTTAACATTGAACGTTTTGAAATAAAGATATCTAGCAGAGTGTGAAGCCAAAGAATAACCTGCAAGTAGAATATGTTTATAATAATGAAATATTTTTCACAACAAAAAAAGAACTACCAGGAAAATGATTTAACCAGGTAGTTGTGTTAGATTGAACACAATGTGTTTCCCTTAAAGCGACCTACATGCTCAAACTCAAAAAACTATCAGCTTACAGTTTTGGCAAAGACACAGCCAGGGGGACATAAGATTATCGTTCTGCTAAAACCCAACTTCACACAAGTCATCAGTGTATGTTTGTCTGCAATTGTTTCCATTTGCACAGAATGCATTGAGGATGGAGTGTGATCTCATTCTCTTTTATAGGGTGACTGACTAATGATGGAAACTTTGAGTGGATCTAAAAATGAGCATCAACACATGTTGGCTTAACGCTGCTGACGGTATCTGTGGATTAGCTAGTCACCGACGCATTGTCTTCCAGAAAGAACAAAGTTATTTCTATGCAGCCCTATAAAAGATCACAAAACATCACTTAAGCATTTATAAGAAAAAAGCAGATCACCACACAGTGATATTTCAACAATTTATTCAACAACTTCATCGACATTTTCTTAAGAAGTGTGCTGCTTCATTTGATGTTTGATAAGTAACCAATAACCAAAGCTTTTTAACATGCACATGGTCTCAGCACAGATACAGGCTTTATGTTCTCCTCAGTTTTAAAATCCACACAGCTTTGAGTACAGCAGCTGAAGAAGCTTACCAACAACCAGTTCAATGATATACACACCAATTCTCTGTTTGAATTAAAATATAAAGAAAAGGAAAATAAACAAGTAAAAACCTACAAAGGAAATAAAGCTGTAAAAATCAGAAACAAATCCTAGAGATAGCGCCGAGTGGAGGAAACCATGAACACACGAGTCCCGAGGATCTGCACTTCACATTGCTCAGCTGCTTGGTCTGTGCATGTAGCTCTTAAATTAATTATGTAAATACTATGAAAACAAAATGCAAGTCACACACTCGGCAAACAAGAAACATTCCTTTCTTTCGACAGATCTGGAGCTCCCATTAGCGGAGGGGAATGGTCTTTAAAGGGGGCTGACAAACGGGTAGGAGAAGGGGGGGGGGGGGGGTCATAAGTCCTACATGGCATTCACAGGGGCAACCTTTTTGTTTTGATACATCTTAAATACAATAAATGATTTCGACCTGAATTTGCCGTTTAAAGTGTCTGAATCTGTTTCAGGTGCAGTGGAAAGTCTTTGGCTGCCCCGGTGTCGAGTTCTTCAGACAAAGATCAAAAAGATCCGAGCACACGGGTCGATAACATCAATCAGCGATTCCCCGTGCCTTGATTCAATATGTCGCTTTGATCTGTGTCTGAGGAAGCCCTCTCACTCCGACCTACCTCCTTGTTTACTCTGCAACTCATTACATTTTCTCCCCAAGTACAACATGGGTCATGTGTGGGTGTGTGTGAGTGTGTGTGAGGACTACTGGTGGGCACATTGCACCCCCGGGCCGTGGTGGCCCCCCTCTTCGTCGGAGCTGTCGTTGTAGGCCTCTCTGCGGCCCCCGCCTGATGAGCCCTGGCTGACGTCGTAGTCCTGCAGGTCCACCTCCTCCGTGTCTGCCGTGATGATGGGCGGCTCTGACCGTGAGGGCAGCATGTCCTCTAGCTCCTACACATGGAACACATTCATCAGAATGGGGCTTAACAGGAAGTCTCACCATTCTTGTTACACGCCAGTGGGGTCAGTAGTGGCAGAGATACAGGACGAATTTGACGTTACTGACTGACAAAAAATAAAGGGGCCCTATTATGCTCATTTTCAGGTTCATATCTGTATTTTGTGCCTCTACTGTGACACGTTTCCATTAATTTATGATCTCCAGCCTTTCAATAATACATTAGAAATGATATGAATGCAGAATGTGAGGTGTGTATGCTCACTGTACATGGAGGAAGAAAGACTAGAGCCAAAAGCTTATTGTACAGTTTCCCTAATGCAAATCTACAAAGAAACGCTTCAGAGGGAAATCTAAATGTGTGTTTAAGATTTGAGTTGCTGCTGAGGTTGCTAAATCACTCTGGGATATCTAGCTCTAAATCTGACTCCATACGTCATGATAGGTACACACGTTATAACCAACACTGTTGGAGTATGCAGCATTAGATGGAGCTCAAAGCTGTTCTAAATATGTATTTCTACACACTGTAATGAACCAAAGAATGCTAAAAGATGATAGTGAACAGTTAAAGGGGTAATGTCGTACCACAAGCTTCTCGGGGCTGATCCAGTTGTTCTCTGGGAACTGGACATCAAACTTGACATACAGGTCTCCCTTCTCAAAGGGGTTACGGTACTGTGGCATGCCCTCTCCTCGCACCACTCTGACTGCGGCTGGAAAAGATACAGCAGGAAAAAAGAAGATTAGAAAAGGCTTATTCACAACTTGAACGACAATCATGGTACGCTACATTCTCTCCGCTGAAGTTTGCCTCAAGCGGCCCTAATGTGTTGATGTTGTTGAAGGGATTTCTTTTTGCCGATTCTTAACCAGCTTAGTTTCACTGAGTGTTGACAGTGTGTGCATCCCAACAGGACCCAAATGACGAGTCCCTGTGTCGCGAAAATGAAATGATACAGGCATTGTGGGAAGTGAGAGAAGGGGCCAGATATGGTTCAATTAAAGAATATTTTTGGTTAGGACAATAGTGCACAGGAATAATACCTGTGGGTGTAAGGAGAACGTGTGAAACTCTTGAACAATATACACTAAAGTTATTTAGTGTGCTCAGGTAAGAGGGCATGTTAATGTTACACACTTCCTTGTCCTGCAAGTAGATGATATTTACCTTTCTAATATTTATTATGTACATTTGATTGGTTAAAAACAGTATGAGAGTATTAACCTGGTTCGATGACTTTGCCAGCGGGGTACTTCACAACGATCTGTCTCCCGTCTAAGTGTTTGAGCATGAACTGGAAACCGCACAGCGCCTCCACCAGCCCCAGCTTGTGGTTCATGAACAGGTCTTTACCATCTCGCCTGAATGTCTGAAAGCAGAGAGAAACGGACAGTTAAAAGCAGCTTTATACCAACATTATTGACCATGGGACATTTGATCAATGGCATCAAATGACCAGTTCTCTCACAATCAACAGACAGACCCGCAACTAAATTAATTATTATCTAGAAATAGCTTTCACACCGGAGTACTTTTCCCCTTTAGTTCCGATAGTTCCTGGGATTTTGCGTTCACACCAAAAAGAGAACTTAGTTCATGAGAACTTTTCCCCCCTTTTCAGTCCCTGCTAGAGAGCAGGTACTTTCCTGGAAGAAAAAAGTTCCAATTTCTGATTGGCTGGGCGAATTGCAAACCACGCCGCGTAAAACTCTGAAAAGTTTTGTGAAGCTGCCATTGTATTTGCTGGCATTAGCATTATTAGCATTAGCCCCGCGCACCAAGGGAGAGAGACTAACTTATGGAAACACAAAAGAAAACATGGGAGCGGAGATGAGGAGGTGTCGGCGTTCTGGCGATTTACTCGGAAGGCTTCAGTAGAAGCTGCTGGGAGTCCTAGCAGCTTCTACTGAAGCCAGTCCCCAACTCCGGGGACTTCGGGTGGCAGTACACGCCGTGAAGTTGTTTGCGGGCTGCCAGTAAACCCAAAGCAGAAGAAGAAGAGGTGACGTCAGCAACTTCTTTTGCATAATCTTCCCTCAGGGACTTATTCCGGTGTGAACGCGATCTGCTCTTTAGTTCCATGGGGGAACTAAGTGCTGGGAACAGTACAGCAAAGTACTTGGTGTGAAAGCGGCTATGGTTCAGTTACCTATACAAAGGATTTATGACAAAGCTAAATTGTATTAATCTTGTTTACTAAATGCACATTAACCAGCCTGTCTAGACAAAAACTGTGTATATTTTCAATGATCACACCTTACTTTCTACCAATGGAATGTCAGTAACATCCACAATACATGTTAGTGTTATCTGTGTTTCTGTAGTAGGCAATTTTTCCTCCACCAACAACTTAAGATACACTGACACCAATGACGGATGGCTCCTTAGAGAGAGAGCGCCTGAGGCAGAGCTACAGCTCAGATTGCTGCTCCAGAGAACACAAAATCACTGCCTCGTCAGATAGAAGGACAGTTAGCTTTGTCAGCTGCTTTTCATTAATTGGGACACATTTATTTTGGTGCTTTTCAATTCCCACAAACTTAATGGCTGCTGCTGCAATACTTTTAACATGTTAACTTACTCTATTATAATGCTTTTACTGATTTTTTTACCATGGATTTGCACTCATTGTGTTTTACTTCTGCTTGCTTACTTCTTTATTATGTTAGTCTACTCTTTTTCTTGCCCTTAATCTGTAACCAGTGTGAGAAAAGGTTTTTAGAGAGTACTTGTCCATGGACAAGTGAGTTTGGCAATTTACTTGTCCGAATACATTTTTCACTTGTCCAGAATGGACAAAAATTGGCGCCACTGGAATCTTCTTCTTCGCCATCGTATTTTCCCACGGTTTTTACGACACCGCTAACGTAAGTGAGCGGTAAGATTTTACTGCATCACACAAAGGGTTGGGTATCGTTTGGATTTTAACGATTCCGGTTCTGCTTTTCGGTTCCGGTTATTTTCGGTTCCGGTTCTTTGAGAGGGTAAAAATAAGTCCCATGACAAACTGGGAGAAATATATATTTATGAAAACATTAAGTCAAATCTGTATTCCTATTTACAAATCACTTCATACTGTTGAATTTCTTACGGTTATTGAATACAATTATATAAAAATAATCTCTGCATTGTTTAGTTAGTTCTAAGTGGTGCAGTTTGAGAATGTGTCTCCTCTGATGTTACACTGCAACCTGCCTGTGGGACAGAGTCCAACCACACATGTCCAACACATAGGCCTAATAATAATAATACATTATATTTATAGTCTATAGGCCTAGCGCTTTTCTACAACTCAAAGACGCTTGCACGCATTTATTTACATTTACAAACTGTGAGCAGCTGCCCAGCTGCTCACAGTTTGTAAAAGTAAATAAATAGTATTTTCATTTCAATAATGTAGCTACTTTCTATACCCTGCTTCATAAACACTACTGACATCCCTGTGCTCCTCCGAGTCTGGGGGTCCGGGGATGTGAGGACAGCGCGAGGAATCTTCTTTACTGCTGCTTCACTTCATAAAGGAAATGGCGGTCAATATTAACAACACAGGAGCTAAAACGCTTAATAACCTTCATTACGTGTTAGAGAAAGAACATAAGAAAGTTTGACAAAGATGAGGCTGTTACACGGGCAGCGGATCTGCTGTGTTAGAAAGAGAGAGAGACGCTGAGCTACACCGTGCAGCGATCAGCTGATACGGAGCATAGAGAGAGACTAATGTGCCATGTTGTGTAGTGAAAGTTAAAACATTGTTGTAAGAACTGTATATTTGAGAAAGTGTCTAGTGTGACAAAAACGAGAAAATATCAAGCACTTATATATTCATCGTATATTCATCGTGGCATGTTTCCATGCTCTAAGTTTGAACTATGTAACGCTGTGACGGCGCAGAGCTGTCAAGACAATCTGGCAGTTGGCACTCAGACGGTGGAGAGGTGTGAAGCACCACCAGCTGGACCCATCTGCCACGTGTAACTGACACAGAAACACTATTTCATTTATTTTAGGGATGCACGATATTGTTTTTTTGAAACCGATACCGATAATAAAAACATTTTTACGCCACTAATTATTTTAACGCGATTAACGAATTTTTTTTGCTCGGCCGCCCCGTAGTTTCAGAGCGCATCGAGTTTAAAATACCATCTACAAGCTGATGCTGACAGCCCCTCTCCTGCCGCCCGCTTGTGGCAGACCACACTTCCACGCTCACCGGCAGGCACCGACTGGCCATCTGGAGGACCGGGAGGGTGTGTGTATGTGTGGCGCGAGCGAGCGAGAGAGACCTTACGTGCATTGTTGTTGTTAGCATCTGGTGCTAGCTAGCTGCACTAACGGATATAAGGAGCGGTTTAAATGAAAACAGAGGAGCGACATTTCGCCACAACTGCACCGAGCACTTGACTTTATGCAGGAAGCCAGACAGTGGGACATTGTACGAAAAGTCAGCACACTCAGCACGGATAGTGCGCAACATGATTGCAGCGTCCAGGCAGCTCCGGTTCGAGCATATGCCTTGAGTTGCACATAGCTCCAACGCCCATACCACCGACGACATGTTTGTTTACTGTCCTGGCTTCACGGCCGCACACCATTTACGTCACAGCCAGGCATGAGTTAGGGAGCGCTGGATTTGTGAAGAACTCCCCTCTTTCTAAACCACTAATACCACAGTACTGGCAAAACGGGAGGAGCCGAGTGAAAAACAAGCGCCCCTCATCCCAATCCACCCACACCAGAGTCCTGCATCGGGTCGGGTACCCGCGGGTACCCGACGGGTGACCCGCAAAAAAGGTGATTCGCGGGTGGTATTTTTTTCAAACGCTTTTTTCCGGGTTCGGTTCTGGGTAAAACAAAGATGATGCGGGTCGGGTCTCGGGTATTGCATAATAAATATATTAAAATAATAATAAATTAGTTTAATGTTTAAAATCCTCAGACCTCTCCCCCGCGGGACCGCGCATAATCATAACCTCTGCAGCGCATCAATCTGCTGCTGTGCGCGCCACATTCGAAATGGCTGAGGTGAAGCTCTCTAGCGGAGAATACAGCATTTTCAATAACACTTCCTCAAGAGCAAAATCCAACGTCTGGGAGGCTTTTTGTGTCATCCTAGATGGAGGAAATAACCAACATCCCACGCTTTTTGAGACACATATGCAACTGCGTGTGTTAATAATTGCACGTTTTCACTGCTCATAGGCTATGCGGGTTCGGGTCGGGTTGCGGATCTTGTGCCGACGGGTCGGGTCGGGTTGCGGAACTAATTGGCAATATGTGCGGGTAGCGGGGCGGGTTCGGTATTGCACGTCGCGGGTGCGGGGCGGGAGCGGGTCTTGAAAATCAGACCCGTGCAGGACTCTGACCCACACCGCAGTATTTTTTCCTTTTTTTTTTACCCAAAAAAAATATTGTATATTATTGGGGCTATTAATACTGGTATCGGGTTTATCGGGATGACGTCATAATTCCTAATATTGGACCGATAATTATCGTGCATCCCTAATTTATTTTTCTGAACTGCGAGAGTAAAATCGGATTTATCATTAAACTTGTTAAGTGAACTCGCTAGGTGGAAATCAGTCAGTGGGTGTTTCTCAATGTCGAGGAAGGCTCCTCCAGAGCCACTATTTCAAGGATGCTACATCATCGAGTGCCACCGAAGGACTGTTTCAATGTCCAGGATCCTTGGAATTCTACAGAGACCGGCGTCCTTCGTTGCGGGAAATTCCGAGGTTGCACATGTGTATCCTTCGGTCTTAAAATCCCCACAATGCTTTGCGCACGGACCAATTTCCAAAATCTTTGGCTGAAATCACGCTCCATTTAAGGCGGGGACTCGCATATGACTCACACCTGCACACCTGTTCCACAATTCTTCATTTTCCAAGAATAGGAAGGATTCTTGCCTCGCTTCTGAATAGGGTTGTTGAAAATAATTGTTTCTACGATGCATTGCGATGCGGACGTGAACGATTCGGTATCGATGCAGTGACGGAAGATAATCGGTTATAGCGTAGTAATGTTGCTTCCTGATTTTCTGGCCGCGGCTTTACTATAACGTTTTTTTCTCTCTGTGACTTTAATATCAAATCGGTCAGTGACGCAGAGATCAGGGAACAGACGTGACAGCGGCACCAAACACGGAGCAGTCTGCTTTATCCACCAACACAAGAACACCAGTCCAGAACCAACAGCCTGAAGGACCCGCTCTGAATCACTCCGTGTCGCTGCGGCTCAGAGACACAGGGATTTATGTTTTTCAAAAATAATCGCGTTACAATCATGTCAGGTTTTTGGTGGATTTAATTAAGTCTTGGATTGCAAAGTATGAATGTCCTCTAGCAATTTTCAGACGATATATACATGTGTAAAGTTTGTGAAGGCAGGAGGAAAAAAGCTTCCGCGATCACTGTCTCCTCTCCGTTCCTCCAAGCCCCGCCCTGAAAATAATGAGTGACAGGCTGATAGTGACCCGATAGAAACTTTATTATTCACTTAATCACTGAGATATAATGAAGCTAATTTAATCTCATACATTCATGGGATTTATGTAACAGTAAGACAGAGAATGTAAGTGTGCACCCACATGCAGTATTTTAGTTGTTATATGCTGTTGTAAATACTCCTTTTGTCTGCTGTGTTCAGACTCAAGTCCTGTGTGTGATGCCACATTCAGGACATTCAGTGTCCTTTCTTTAACAGAAGACTGTTGCTAGAAGCTGCAGCTAGACTGCAGAAGCATTATTTTTTTTGTTTTTGAGGATGGAACAACTTCACACACAGATATAGGGAGGCTAGACCTATACAATTCATTTATTTTGGTTTATAAATTAATGTCAAGACATTTATGTTATTGATTTCTGAAGCACTTTCTAAATAATAAAAAGAGAGTTCATATGTATTTACTGCATGTATGCATTGATGAAAAATAAGCCATGTGCAGTAATATAGAAAATTGAGGATGCAACGCATTGGTATGAATCGTGATGCATCGGGATATCGAATTGAATCGAATCGTTGACAGGATAATCGTAATCGAATCGTGAGACCAGTGAAGATACACAGCCCTACTTCTGAAGGACCTCGACATTGAGAAACACCCTGTATCTTGGTTACTGTGAGACATAGGTGATTTTTAGGATTGTGTTATTTTTGTCCTTTGGATTGTCCATGTCGTAATTGTATTGCCTCTAATTGATACACACAACATTTATTGCATGCCTATCCTTCCTGGGAGAGGGAGTTTTTCCCCTTTGTGCAGCGGGACTAAGGACAGAGTGTTTTGTATACTGTACTGTACTGTAAAGCCTCCTGTGAGAAAAGCACAGTAGACATCGTATGTATCTGATGTAAGTGTGCAAGGTGTTAAAATGCTTCAAATTTCCCTCTAGCTGCTTTATTTCCAGGACAAACCTACCTCCCCTAATCTACATCATGTATTTCATCAAGAGGCACAACATTCCTGACAGCAAAATGCCAAATACTTCCAAAACAGCACTCTAAATGATTTTCATATCCGTCAAAATCTAAAAAGGCAGGCCATAACATAATTTGTATAACAGCCTAGGCTGGAATGCAAAAAAAGCTACAAGAAACACAATGCATCAAAGGGACCAAGAAAAGCAGACAACAACTGAAGGAGATCATGCAGTAGCCGTTTTCTGTGATTTATGTATAATCTGATCGTAATAAAGCATTAGCTGATAATGTTTGACGTGGGGATTTGCACATCTTTTGCTGCTTTTCCATCTAGTCTGTTTTTTCCCCAAAACCGACATGGCAAGTCCAATCATAAAAAACAGTTTGCTTTGGACATTAAAAACAAACTCCACTCAAGTACAGCCTTTTGTTTAGACAACGTACAAAAGGCATCTCTTATGCACCCACATCCCTGTGTTTGATGTAGCAGCCAAGAAGAACAAATGGATGTTTGCAGACAAATGTTGCAGACATGGTACATTTATGAATTTAGAGAACTCACAGGCACAATGCTCAACAATATGATCTCTAAAGAATCTATCAGTGGGAAGCTGTGGCCCGGGGAGGGAAATTGGTTTAGAGCCAAGGTCATCTTTTTATGTGCAGGATATAATTAGTAACTTATATGGATGCACATTTCTCAAATAAGATCAGTGTTCAGTATAACAAGTTGGTTGATGCCAATACCAATGGTTTTTTCAAGATATTTTGTAGTGTTATTTGTCCCTCTTTTGTGCACCGGAAACAGATACATCTTAGTAAATAAATCTCCATTATGAAAAATCTTCTTTCTTCCCATCATCAGACAAACTTTAAATTAGTAAAGAATCCCTTTAAAAATATTTTAACAAACGCTCTTGAGCTTGCAAAATAATAACCAACTAAATGAGAAGAATTTTAAGCAGCAACAGTAAAGGTACGTCCACACAGCAGCTTTAACCTGTTAAACCCCGAGCCTGTTTTTCAGGTTTCAGGCTCGAAAATGACATTCCCAGAACAAATGACCATATCTTCCCTTCTAAAAGTGTTAAATTAATAATCTTTTTTCTCAAAGTAATGATAAACCTGTGAGTTGGATGTAGAAAAGTCAGATTCAATATAGATGTTTTTTATTTTAAAGAAAATTCAGATTGAACATGGTAAAAAAACTGTAAATTATAGTGTCCGTCCAAAAAACATTTTGTACTTATAGTGAAAATTAACCTTGGATGATGGGATAGTAGACTAAAAGCTTTAGGAATCCAAAGTACAACATATAATAAGTACCCTGTATAAAGATTGATGCAAAACAAGTGATATTTGACCTTTTTAGACAGATTTAGCAAAAAAAAACCTCTTCTGGGGCCATTTGGGTGGATTTTCCATATCTCTGGCCCCCCTTGCTCGATTTTGACATGTGACATCTCTTTCTGACAGTCAGAGCCAATGGAATCGAGGGGAACTCCCACATAGTCCTTATTTGGTCATGTGTATGTGTGAGACTGCTGCATCGCCGAGACCGGAAGCAGCAGCTAGCTGTGGTGGCTACCATTAGCAGCTAGCATTTACTCTCCGATTTTTACATAAAAATGGAATTATGGATTATAAATTCAATCAGTTTTTTATACATGGACGTTAAGAACCTATGGATTAACCGATTCAGTTGCGTTTTTTCTCATTTTATTGCCATTGAACACGTACTTTGATCAGATTGACAGCTACTTGTGAGACGATCTCCCTAGAAGCTTCGTAAAGGTACGTGTTGTGATGACTGTATTTGCTTCCCCTGTCGCGAGTCCGGATCACTCAGTGATGATACTATATACCTACATAATCTATGGAGTCTCAGCTTTAATCGGATATATTGTATGTGCAGCTATGATAAGTAATAAGGGTACTTTTATCTTGAGTTCTGTGCCAATGTCCGTTAGCATTTTTCACTCAGGGGTAATTTAGATGCTTCTTATAAGACTTGTGTTTTGTTTTGGTAAACATGGTTTGTATCGGCAGTTAGCTGAGATTATTTCCGTTAATCTGGTATAACACATTAATAGGTTCTTAAATATTAAGATCCCCTGAGACACATTATCGTGAAAAAAAGACCCAGGGTCCTTCGGGCTTAACAGGTTAAACAAATCTTCCAACGCTTCTCTGCCCATTGACTTTGAATGGGGATGACGTCACTTTGCCTCGCTTTTCGCCAAACTGCATTGTGGGGGAGCGAAGCGAAGATTTCCAGGATTTTCAGGATTCAAAAGTTGAGCAATGTTCAACTTTTGAAGCTGAGCTGGAAGCGTCAGCTAATCAAATCCCGTTTATGCAAATCTGACAGTAGAAGCGCTAGCCAATCAAACCGCATGTAAGCAGGGAGAACCAGACCGCAGTTCATTTCCTCATATTCCAAACGAGAAATTACGGTAGCAAATCACCCGGTTCTTTACGACCAGAACTATTAACGGGATACAAACCGGAGGAACCAGGCATGGAGGGAGGTGGCAGAGACAGTGGGTGAAATTGGTAGGTTTTCGCCTGTTTGGGGAGTTTATATATATATATATATATTGCTCGCATAAAATCCCCGGGGGTTTTTGCTTTGTATGTCGGGAGCGGGAGATTCATGTGATTGGTTGTTGGTCGCGTTGCTCGCAAAAAATCCCCAAGTTTTCAGACACGCCCAGCTCCAAGATTTTTGAAAAGCTGCAGTGTGGACGTACCGTAAGTCTGATTTTTTTCCTGATGCAGCGTTCTAAATAAATACATAAAAATTAAGTTCAATACTAGGGATGGGTACCGACCGAGCCCCGGTTAAACGGTAACTGAGTTATTTATTTTGTTAAAGTTTCAGCTATTCTGTTTACAGTTCTGTCATCAGATTATTTAATACGATTTGTTAAAACATTGTTGTTTCTTTTGATGTGAAATATTATTTATTTAATTTAAATAAAAAGCAATGTTCATTTTGTTTACAATTTGTTTAGTTACCTATTTTCTTCTTCAAAAGAACCGATAAGATTACCGCTAAAGGCCAGATCGATAAAAGTAGTAGTACCGTTAAAACCTTAACGATATCATCCCTATTCAATACGGTATTGGCCCTCTTACCTCATTCTCTTTTTCCTGCAGGACGAGGACGATGTCTCCAGGCTCGACGCCAGGCGCCTGGTCAGCCTCCCCTCCGAATGTAATTTTCTGGCCGTGCTTCATGCCTTTGTCCACGTGCACCTCCAGGATCTTCACCTCCTTGAGGACTTTTTTGCCCTCACATTTTTTACAGCGATCCTTCTCACTGATAACTTCACCTGGAGTGGATTAAAGGAGAGAAGGTTAGGAGTGTGTGCAGGCTAATAAAACAGAAACTGCTTCATCACGGTTTAGTTCGCCTTACCTTCTCCGTTACAATCGGTACACACAGACTGCATCTGTTGGACCATTCCTGGGGCCAGCTGTCTGATCATGATGCGCATGCCTCGTCCCCTACATGTTGTACATTTTTGTACCGCACCTGTCTTGCCTCCCTGCCTACAAAAATGACATGGGATTTATTGTTAGAAAAGCACAAAAACACAGCAAAAGACTAAATAATCAATGTTGGTTTTACAACTTACCCATTACAAGTGCTACACAGTACATTCTTGCTAAGTTGTAATTTAGTCGTTTTCCCGTTGTAAACGTCCTCCAGTGTCACCCTGTAGTAAAAAAGTGATGGTTAGAGACTATTTAGTGACACAAGACAGAAATGTTGGAGTACAATGTTGGCTTATTATAAAACCATAGACTTTTAAAGGGCCCCATTTCCTCGAGATTGTGGGAAATGGTATTTCGATCTCTGTCTGTACACACAAACTGAAAGATTGACAATAAAGTTGGACTTTGACTTATGCTCAATTTCAGGTTGATATTTGTATTTTGTGGCTCTACTGTGACATGTCTACATGCATCCAAGTAAAAAAAAAAAAAGGGCACCATGGTCTGCTCTGATTGGTTAACTGGCCTGTTCTGCAGAGATTGGTCAACCGCTTAGAGATGTCCTGCCCCTTAGCCTATCAAGTTAAAAGCGGAAGTGTAACAGTGATGTCGCTATGATATAGAAGTCTTTTTTATATTATACACAAATATATTAAATGCTTTTGGGTTGGTTTTTAAGTGGATCTGCACCAAACAAATGTGTTTTGTTGGGTCAGTAGAAAACCATTTGTAAGCCTAGAGATTGCTGCAGATGCACAATACCTTATTCAAAATGTTATTAACAAAAATTGTGCTTCCTGCTATTTCAATATTGTGGTTGTCCATCTTGGGATTTGATAACATTTTAATTATTTGTGCAACCCTAGTACAAGCATTTAACTGAAAAAGCCTATACATCAGTGTACAAGCTTACTCTTACTTGAGTGGATGGACCATGTCCTCTCCTCTCCGCCGACCTCCATTCCTGGCCCGACTCCCCTGGCCACCCATGAATCCGAAAAGTCCACCTCCGAAGATGTGGGAGAAAATGTCGTCCATCCCGGGGCCACCCCCACCGCCTTCCCGTAAGCCTTGTTCTCCATAGCGGTCATACAGTTCCTTCTTTTCAGGGTTGGTCAGCACGTCATAGGCAAAACTGATTTCTTTGAACTATGTATTGAGAGGTACAACAAAATGTGACGAGGTGTAATTTTTTACATCATATCAACAGCATATTAAACACAGCTCAGGACTTAGAGCTTTTAATCTTTCACCTCAGCTTTTGTGGTAACTTAAGTGACATTATTCTGGGCAAAGCATTTCTCAGGTTGCAATACCCTCACATGAGGCTTATTTCTAAGCCTACCATGCGCAGCTTACTTCCGGGTTTTAGGACGTGTCACTGCACCACTCTATACACATGCATAAACTTCACAGCGGGGGGAACTTGTCATAAAGTCCGCGAAAATAAAGCCCACCTATTTAGAGGGAAGATATGATTGGTCAATTGGACTGCCAGTTGACATTACTCTCTCGTTGAGTTACTGTAGCTGGCCCTCTGTGAATTTACAGCAGGACCACCAATCACCTCCTATCTTCACCTAGCAGAGACGAGCTTCTTTTATTTAACCCTTCACATTCCTACAGAAACTGAACAGGCAGATTCGAAGGATTTATTTATTTGGAAATGTTATTTTAAATGCAATGTTGGATGTTCAATAAAAAGTTCAGTTTGAAAGGATGTTCTTGAATTATTATTATATATCATCATTATGTCAGTGGTCTAAAATGGTCTGACAACGGTGCCGACAATATTATCGTTTATCACAATTTCTGGGAAAATGTACCGTCCAACAAAATTAATTATCGTGACAGGCCTATGCATGGGTTCCCTCGTCAAAAAAAGCAATGGGATTTCTCCATAGGACTTTGGAAAATAGCTCGAAATAAGGTCTGTGGAAAACAAACCTGTTAGGTAAATGAACGTTTTGTTCAGCCGGATAATATCCACGTCTACCCTACTTTTATCATTTTCGAATCATAAATCTAATCGATAGATTTATGATTAGCATAAGTTCGTTCATGATGGCTCATGTCAGTTTCAGTGATTTGATCATCAAAGGTAGGCCTAAGGTGGACCGCTGTGCCGACTTAATTCATTTTTCATTGTTACTTGGCTGTGGGTGCCCTGTCATGATAGATGTTTATATAAATGGTGTTGTTTTGTGTGGTAGAAGAGGATCGCTGTCATTTTTTCGAGGGAAGGGAGTGGGGGGGTGTTGGCGGTATAAAAGTCAAGGCTCGTCACTGGAAGGGAGTGTCATAAATATCTTACCTTGTCACCAGCATTTGGGTTCTTGTCAGGGTGGTATTCTTTTGCCAGTTTCCGGTATGACTAGAAGTACATAAAAGAGAGTGCATAGTTATATAATAATCATTGTAGTAATGCGCTGTTTAATGGAATCACACACCTGTATGACTCAAATTCATAAGATGGAACAGGGTCTACTTGTTACGCAATCACACGTGACGTTAAGCACTGACTGATGGAAAGTTTATTCTCATGGTTTTAATGAGTAAGTGGCGATCAGGTGATTTATATTGCGACAGACCCAATTATTTTAACTGTATTATACCCATGACTTAATAACCATTTTGTCTAAAAAACGGTACTTCAAAATGTCTGACAATTTAATCACTAACGTTTAGCATAGCGTGCGTATGCTCATTAGCATTTCTCGCTAACCAGAGATGGCGATAAGAAATCGCCCTATGAACCATGACAACCCTTTTCCTTAAAGTCTAACATTGATAAAGTGTGTGAATTTAATATCGTACACCAATGGAAATACTTACACCAGGTTTAGCTCAGATTGAAATGGGTAAAATTACATGCAACAGTAACGTGACGTTAGCTCATCTGTTAGCGTTAGCCTGTGCTAGCGGAGTTTTAATTTAAGGTTAACAATGTAACGGTACTTCAATGTTAGCATTATATCTCGTGAACTGGCTGGAGGTTAAATAAAGCCTTGATGCCCACAGAAAGTGAAACCGTAATTATTGACAACCAATAATAGCAACGTTACTGTACCGTAAAATTGGCATTCAGTAATGCAAGATTCGAAGTCGACTTATTTTTAATCATTTCTTCACACCATAAATATGTCTTTATCATCAAGCTATCTGTCAGGGGTTTCCAGCCATTATGAAACAAACACTATAATTAACGTTACCTGTTTCCAGAAGCTTCGACAGGCTTAACGTTAGCTAGCTGACATGATGACAAACACCTGAGCTAAAGCTAACGTGAGGTCAATCGTCTTATTAGTAACGTGACAAGCAACAAACTCAATGTCACTTTTAATGAACGTCACCCAAGTGCCCTGTTCTGTTTAAAACCAGACGAAAATCCATAGTGACTGCTGCTAAAATAAAAAAGAACCCTGATATTACAGAACTCATGAACATTTAACATTACAGCCGCATCGCCACATGAACACCCAGGCCGGTTAGCATGTTAGCCTAGCAAGTTGGCTAACTAGCTTGCTGTGCATAACAACGCATTTCCTGATTGTAGCAATTGACACTCACAAACATAAACCTGGTGTAATTTCGTGGTTTGTTCAAACCTTTCAGTATAATTACCTTCTTCAGCTCATTCTCAGTAGCGTTCGGAGTCACGCCGAGAATATCGTATAGTTTTGTGTCTACTACAGTCGCCATGGTGTTGCTGTGGATGTTGCTTCAGCAGGGAGGTGGGTGGACAAAGAGAAAGAGCCGGTGGAAAATGATTTTGCTCGCCTCGTGTTTCAGTTTCCGGGAAGAGAGACGCTCCGTGTGGGCCGCTGCTGCCTCCAGGCTGCGGGGACACCACATTACTGCTCATTGAAAAAAACATTCTGAATTATTACAATGACATACTTTTTTGAAATAAGTACTTAGTATGTTATTTAGTATACACAGAATGACGCAACATCATTATACAAATAATGACTTAAAACTCAAAACATTTCTTAAAATATTAAAAAGCTATTTGGGGAGACTTAGTAGGCTAAATATTTTGAGAAACACTCTTTTTTTTATTTCAGGCATTAATTAATTAATTTGAGGCTCTCAGTAATTATTTTTGAAATGTAGGCTACTAAGGGTGCATTCACACCTATATACAGTCTATGATTCACACCTAATAGTCCGTTTTATGGTGCGCACCAGACGAGAGTTTGTTACATTGTTTCATTTTTCAGAAGGTTCGGTTTGCGTTCACACCATAGTCACACGGGCAAAACTCAAACGGACGATACATTTTAAACACAAGTCATGTGCACGGAAATGCTGTTCAACCATTGGTCAGACATTAAGGGGGTAAAAACGCAAATCCCGGCAATTTCTACCGGAGCCTCCGACATGGAGCATCGGCACTTTCGGCAGATTATTCTCATGCTGCTGTTAATCTGGAGATCAACAGACACTAGCGGCCCGCGCATATGATTATATAATCATACAACGTCCGTTAAAAAACATTATAACACATAATGAGAGACGTTCTGCAAGGAGGTGCGTTTCACCGCACCAAGCGGCTAAACGCACCAGGGTTCGATTCAACCGGACTATACAAGGCAAGTGTGAACGCGCCCTCAGTCATTTCATTTGAGGTACTAAATCATTATTTTAAGATACAACGTCCTTTAAAAAAAAGAAAATGTGTCATTATTTTTGAGCTACTATATCATTTTGTTGATGTAATTGGTCCTTATTGTTAAGGACATTAGTCAGAATTTTTGAGATAATAGCATACTGTTGCCCCAGGCAACAAACCCATTTTTTTGGACCTCACACTGGCCCTTTCATTATTAAATGTTTTTAGGCCTATATAATGTCACAAGACATGTTTGTTTCCAATAAAATTAGGGAATGATAATGGGTGTGACCTTTTGTCTGGGGGCGGAGCAGTCTTTATGCAAGCAAAGCCAGATGGGACCAGGACCACCACCTGGTAAGAAACATTTCACTTTAAAACATATTTAAAATGTATATAAATAAGATAACAAATATATGCATGTGCATGAATATGTAAAACAACAACTATATTTGATTGTTTAAAGACTTATTATATTTTTCTTTTTTTGCTAAAACTATGTTTTTTTGTTCGTAGCCTCAGGGCAACACTGTGCAGTTAGTCCCCTTTTGTCCAGTCAATATCATGGAAGTGTGCAAATGTACTCAGGTGTAAAATGATGAACCTATTCGATATGTTTACTTTACTATCTGATAATTACAGGAAATGGACACCAACACATTTTATGGGCAGACGGGACATGATCGATCTGTTAGGGCCATTCCGTCTGACAGTGAGGACCGTGAAGGGGACAATAGTCAGGAAGAGTGGATCCCTGAATCATGTTTGAGAAATAGTAAGGTTAAGGGTCAGTCAGTATCAGTCAGCAGAGTAACACTAACATGTGTGTTTGTGTGTTTATTTGGCAAGCATATTAGTGGATGAAGAAAAGTAAAATAACAAATTAAATTGTGTGTTTTTATTTGTGCTTCCTGTGTTCTATTAGGACAATGCATGTCTGACAATGATACTTGTCTGTGGATGAAGAGCAACACGAAGATGTAGCAGAAGTTGATGTTCCTGCCAACCTCGGTGGAAAACCATCCACAATGCAATCTACAATGCTTACTAAATGTGAGCTATGTCAATTATATAACAAACACTGGTTCAAACAATAATGCACACAAACACTCAAGACAGACTGAAACACTTATAATCATACCTGCATACACAGACTACCCCCTACACTGTTCCAAGAGTAAGAACTAAACATGGAGAAGCAGAGTTTAGCTATTATGCCCTGGAACAATAATAATAATAATAATAATGGGTTCCATTTATAAAGCACTTCATATTTGATTTCAAATCCCGAAGTGCTACAAGTAGTGAGCATGAACAGTATAAATAAACATTACACAACACGGTAGAATTAATAAAAAGCAATAACAAAAATAAAAATAATAAAAGGGTGATAAAAAGGTCTAGGCAAAGGCTCTTTTGAAGAGATGGGTTTTGAGGCCTTTTTTAAAAGCCTCCACGGTCTGTGGTGTTCTCATTTGGTCGGGGAGAGCATTCCACAGACTGGGAGCAGCCGAGCAGAAGGCCCGGTCTCCCATAGTACGGAGCTTAGTCCTGGGGGGTTTGAGGAGGTTGGAGTTGCTGGAGCGGGTGGTCCGCAAGGAGGTATGGGGGGTGAGGAGTTCCTTGAGGTAGGGAGGGGCAGTTCCATGGACACACTGGTGGGTGAGGACGGAGACCTTGAATTAAATCCTCAGTTCCACGGGTAGCCAGTGTTTTAAGGATGGGGGTGATGTGATCATATTTGCGCACCCTCATCAGGATCCTAGCAGCGCTGTTCTGAATGTATTGGGGCTTCTGGATGCTTTTGTTAGGGATCCCGATGAGGAGTGCATTGCAGTAGTCCAGCCTGGAGGAGACAAAGGCATGGACCAGCTTTTCGGCGTCAGACAGAGTGAGTGTGGGGCGGAGTTTGGCGATGTTCCTGAGGTGATAAAAGGAGTTCTTGCACAGCTGTTTAATGTGGGCCTCAAAGGTCAGATGGGTGTCCATTTTAACACCCAGGTTGGTGACTATTGAGGAGAGGGTAATGTCCTGGCCGGAGAAGGTGATGGTGGTGATGGTGGATGACCGAACCTGGTGTGGGGTGCCAACTATAATGGCTTCGGTCTTGGAGCTGTTGAGTTTCAGGAAGTTTTGCTTAATCCACGCCTGTATCTCCTCCAGGCAGGCAGTGAGTGTGGGTGAAGGCAGGGCTGCAGAGGAGGTAGGGTTGATCCTGAGGTACAGTTGGGTGTCATCAGCGTAGCAATGAAATGATATGCCATGTCGGCTGATGATAGAGCCAAGGGGGAGCATGTAGAGTGTGAAGAGGGTGGGGCCGAGAACTGATCCTTGAGGGACACCACAGGTGACGTTGTGGGTACCCGACTCTGCCTCGCCCAAGGAGACGTATTCTGTTCTCCCGGTGAGGTATGATCTGAACCAGTCAAGGGGAGAGTCAGAGAGTCCGATGGTGGAGTGCAGACGATGGAGGAGGATGCCGTGATCGACGGTGTCGAAAGCTGCAGTGAGATCGAGGAGGATGAGGAGAGAGGGAGAGCCAGCATCAGCCGTCATCAGCAGGTCGTTGGTGACCCTGACCAGGGCAGTTTCTGTGCTGTGGCCTGAGCGGAAACCAGACTGGAACTTCTCAAATAAGTTGTTGGAGTTTAGGTGGTCCTGGAGCTGAGCAGCAACTAGTTTTTCCAGCACCTTTGATAGAAAAGGAAGGTTGGAAATGGGTCTGTAGTTGGCCAGGACTCCCGGGTCAAGGGAGGGTTTTTTGAGACGAGGTTTGATGACAGCGGCTTTTAGGGCAGAGGGGACATGGCCAGCCTGGAGTGAGAGGTTTACGATCTTAGTGATCATGGGGCTCATAGTACAGATGTACGATTTTACAAGAGCTGACGGAAGGGGGTCCAGGACACAGGTGGAGGGCTTCATCCTCCTAACGATGCCCTCAACCTCTCGCTGAGAGAGGAGGTTGCGGATAGTATCAACTTTGTTAGTGAAGAAGGCGGCAAAGTTGCTACACTGCTTCTCAGTGGAGTCGGAGTGTAGAGGACTTTGGGGTTTGAGGAGGTGGTTTATGGTAGAGAAGAGTTGCTTGGAGTTTCCAGTACTGTTGTTGATGAGGGAGGAGTAGTACTGGGACCGTGCATCTCTGAGGGACTGTGCGTAGGCCTTCTGGTGTTCACGATAGGCTAACCGGTGAACAGTGAGTCCTGAGGCCTTGAGCCGCCGCTCAAGGACACGCCCAGCTGTCTTCATTCTCCGCAGTTCGCCGGTGTACCATGGGGCTGAGCGCGAGAAGGTGACCATCCTGGTTTTGAGGGGGGCGTGCAGATCAAGGAGACTGTTAAGGGACTGGTTGTAATATGCAACTGACTCATTTACTGAACAAACTCCCTGAATCCTGCAGGTCCGTTGCAACTCTTAATACTTTTGGATCCAGACTAAAAATGTATCTTGTTGTCGCTGCATTTGAGTGAGCTGTTTATATCTACATTGCAGTATGGCTTTTATTCATGTATTCTATTTTATTTAAATTTGTAAAGCACTTTGAATTGCCGTGTGCTGAAAGGTGCTCTATAAATAAACTTGCCTTGCCTCACACACACACACACACACACACACACACACACACACACACACACAACACACACACACACACACACACACACACACACACACACACACACACACACACACACACACACACACACACACACACACACACCCACTAGGGCTGAACGAGTAATCGATTTTAAATCGAAATCGCGATTTTAAATGATGCAAATATCAAATCCCAAAGCCTGCGATTTTTTTTAGTTTAATCCACACCAATCAAAAGTGCTGTGCTCCACATGAACCAGCCATTGTTAACCAATCAGAAGTGGCCCATGATAGAGGGTGATAGACAGATTGATCCAATCACCTGCCAAGTATTTTTGAAAGTGCCTGCCCTTTCCAAATGGCTTCCAATGGAGCTTTCCTAGATGGTTTGGTGAAACAAACCATCTGAGTCAGGTTAGTAATGCTCCATCACATGTTTTACATCTATTACAGGGTGAATCTTAAACTGAAGCTTGACTTTAAAGCAACCCAACGGAAGTTTCATTTAAGTTTAGTTATTTCACTCGTAGCTCGGGCTGTGAGGGTGCTAGAGACGGGAGCATGTTGATACGACCTTCCTAGCCGGAGATATGGCCGCATTTTACAATAAAACTTCAGTTGGGTCGCTTAAAAACAA